CTGCTGAAGGCGTGTTCTCAGCTATGGGCTCTAAACATTCACAAGTGTCTGTCTAGCTCCCACTGCTGCAAGGAAAGGAACCACAGGTTATGGTGAAACTCAAGGTAATGAGTCCACAAATTAGAGATTTGGCATACCTTAGTACCTTGGTTAGTTTTTATTTCTTAAGGGGTAATGACATGCCAAACCCTTGTATACCATTCTCTTCCAAGGCTGGGCTGTAAAGTACTTGTAGCAAACAAGGCTAGCTTATTTTCAGGTTCTGATCCCAGTGCTATATGCGTTGCTCTTTTGCTGTCCAATATTCTTAACTGGCTATGACCTGACTCTGCATATTGCCTAATCAATCTTCCTATAAGTACTTTAACTAGGGATTCCTATTTTCCTGAACTATAAGAAATCTGAGATATTAGAACTGTGCATTTAGAGTAGTTCTGTTTAAACCTTAAGGAGCAAAATTAACTTCTATGAGAGTGAGAGTATCTTGAATAAAAAAAGGTGAACATATTTTATGTATTTGCAAAAGGCATCTGCAGTAGCAGAAGCCTACATATTTTCACAAATTTTCTCTCAGTTAAGGTAGTAGACCTCATTTATCACTTCTAATGCACCACTGACCCTGGAACTCCAGTTACACAGATACTCTGTCCAAAATAACTTTCTTCCTGTACTTCCTAAAAGGAAAGCCACCCCAAAATTACTTTAGAAATGTTAGCTTCCTTATTTGAAGTTTTTGCTACTTTTCAAAATTTTTCTCAGATTCTCAATAAACAAGATAATATCAACATAAGATATCAAACAAGTATTATTCAGTTTTAGACAAAGTTTACTGTGTAAAAAGTCCACAAAATTATAAGATCTTTCTCACCACTCCAGATTTATTTAACAAGGCAGAACTCCCAACAGGCTGGTATTTCTCACTTGTCAAATAGCTTTTTGTGAATATAAGAGTCTTTGCAAATAATTTTAACTGTTAATATCCCTTAAGAATATGAAACAAGTGTAGGTTAGTAAAGTTGATGGAAAACAATTCTTACTGCGCCTTATTTTCCTCTTGACTTTTAAATTATGATGTGGGAAGTAAATTGTAGGACTCCTTAGTTTGAAAATCATGAGAATCAGTGTCAGGAAAGGATACAGTTACATGGACAGTGCTTGTTTGCTCTGGGAGTTCCAGAACACTCTTCTTTGTGATAAGGTTGGTTTTCTGCCAGTTTTGATAATAGATAAAATTGTAGCGAGAAACAGGAAAGGAATGGGATTTTGCCACTAATTGATTAAATCAGGTATTGAAATTTTATTATTCAGTAAATCTCAGAAATATCTTGTAGCCCTTTGGTGAAACAGTTAACATGGTTGCTGATCTTTACTTAAGAGAGAGCTTAATAATGATGAAAATAAGGTTAACAGTTTTTCTTAAACTTCTGCAAAGACTGAGCTGTATATCTGATTTTGTATAGTTTATCACATGTAGAAATGGAACTTGAGAGAAATGTAAGACTTACGGACTCTTCTGAGACTATCTGCAATATTTTTGAAGAGTTTTACTTAATCTTAAACATATTTTATAAACTGAAGTATCAAAATCGTATTGTTTGGAAAGAAAATTGACTTATTAATCTTTTTTGAAGGTTCATTGAAAATTACTCAGTAATTTTAACTACTGCTTGTGCTAATGAACTCTTTTGTTTTAAGGAACCCAGTGACAATGGACCTCTTTTTACTGAATTAAAGTTCTACCAGCGAGCTGCCAAACCAGAACAAAGTAAGAAATACAGTACACATATGTTTGCGCTTTTAAAATGACCACTGGTTTTGTTTTATTTAAGCCAAGACTAGAACATTGGATCTTATATTATGATGTTTTGTTACTTTTTACTTCACAGATAAATTCTATTTAAATGAGATTTGTATGAAAGAATTTTGATCTCTTAACAGGTTTGTTATGATAAGATTTCACTTATGTTGATAATATAGAGTTTATAAATAATATATGATTTAGGAAATATTGTTAAAAGTTGAGAATTAACCCTAATCCATGAGTATGCCTCAGGGATCTCCAAATCTTTTTTTGAGTGTTTTTTTAAATTCTGGAGACCATAACCTGCAGGGATTCCATCACTTATGAACTAGAAGACTGTCGAGGGAGAGAGCAGGACCTCTTCTAGCTACCCTTGTCCTCCTGTCCTCCAATCTCCTTCTCACCTTCCGTCCCCTCTAAAAATCCACGGAATCTCCTGGTAGGATGGTATCAGGCTTGGGAATCTCTCGAGGGGCTTCTGTCTCTCCTCGAGCTTGATTTCCTGGTTGAGGACTTTTAGAATGAGGTAAAAAAACATTTAGATAGGTGTAAAAAGTAAGTCTTTCTGTGGAAACAAGTAAACATTTACATAATTGGAGATATTAATTGTAATTGCATGTGGTTTGACTTTAAAAAATGTTTTCTGCAGATTTTTCATTTTAAAGACAATGTTTAGGACAGGATAACACAATTTTGTGGGTTAATAAAAATGATTTGATTGTAAAGTACTGTTCATTTGTTGGGTACAATGTATTGTTCACTTTCTTTTTTTATGAATAAGGGTGAAATCTTATTGCATGTATATCTTAGGCGTTCTGTTCTTGATTTTTCTGAGAAAAATTGCTGATGTATAACAAAATTGCAATCACAAGCATGTGTTTTAATTTGTAGTTCAGAAATGGATTCGTACCCATAAACTGAAGTACCTGGGTGTCCCTAAGTATTGGGGGTCTGGTCTACATGAAAAAAATGGAAAAAGGTAAAAATATGCATGTTTTGTTTTTCTCCTCCCTTTTTGAGCATTCGCAGTTCCGTTGTTTAGTCAACAATTACGTACTGAGCACCTACCTACAGTACTGCTTGGCCTTCACCTGGGTTGTGTGGACTGTATTCAACAGAGATGAACAAGGTGTTCTCTCTCGTCTGGGGGACTTGTACCGAGTGGAAGCAGCTGCCTGGAACCCAGCTGACAAGTAGGAACAAAGCCAACTTGCCTGCATTATTTTTTTCCCTTAAAAATGAATAAGCAAACATAAAATTCCATGTTATTTATGTAAAAGGGAGCCCGCAGGCTTCAATTTGGCATTTTCTGTTAGATACATAATCTGCCCACCTTTGTGAGGTTTCAGTCTAGCTGAAGAGAGAAAACAAAGCTGTATGAAGCAACCAGAAGCCAGTTAAGTGCCAACTTGTATGATGTTGACTCTTAACATGTCTTAGGAGTTCAGAATGGAGAGAATATTACTGGCAGAGTTGAGTTGGAGAAAACCTCCAATGCTTTTGATGCATAATTGACACTTTAAAAATGTTTAAATGAATGAATGGAGCATCATTCGGCAATGCTGGTAGCTGAGATTTGAAGAGTAGATTTAGTTGGAACTGGGGTATATTGGTTAGGATGCTTTCAGCTGCAGGTAAAGATAAAACTGACTCAGCTCTCTTAAGTAATTGTCAAGTGCCCAGCTTCCTTTATCTTGCCCTTTTGCCCTCTTGGCTTTGTTCTCTATTAATTCTCCATTGTATGGTCTCAAGGTGGCTGCCCATTTCTAGGCTTCGCCTGCAGACACAGTACCCAACAGCAGAAAATGGGATTGCTTCTTGTGAGTTTCACTTTCCTGGCAGGGAAACCTTTCCCAGGGGTCTCGTGGCAGACTTCCCCCCATGTTTTCTTGGTCAGAGTTTTATCGCTGCTCATTCTTAAACTAGCCACTGACAAGGGCAGAGTGATCACAGTAGTGGGGGGAAAGCCTGAACCAGAGTGGTGCTCTGTCAGAGAAGAGGGAGAGCAGAGGAGCTGCTGGGGGGACAGCCAGCGTTGTTCACCAGGAAGTTCTTATCCTGGAACCCAGGCACCTCTGAGGGAGCGTGGGAACTCCCTGGAATGATGAGAGAACATTTTGTTATATGTGGTTTTGCTGGGACAAGATTCTACAGTTTTTAGAAATTTTCTGGAGAAATAGTATAGAGCAAGGATTAAGTTAAGAGTAAGGATTCTAGAGGCAGACACTTGGTTTCAAATCTGTGTCTTGCCCCTTAAAATGTGTGTGACTGGGTAAGTTACTTCTTTTTGCCTCAGTTTCCTCATCTGTGAAATAGAGTAACACCTATCCACATAATAAGGGGTATTAAATGTAAAGCTCTTAGAATATGCGTGTTAGCTTTTACTCTCAAAGGGGTCTTTAATCCCTTAAATATTAAGAACTGCTGGTTTAAAAAATCACTGTAGAGAAGGAATAGCATCTCAAGTGGGGAGTAGCATGAACACAGGGTCATAATAGGCTTCTGGCCTGCTGGCTGCCCTCTTGGCCACGTTTCTTTTTTTTTTAATGAATTTTTTTTTCAGACATGACATTATTTTATGCATAATTGGCCATCTTTCTTTGACAAAGAATGGGGGGACTTGCACACACATGAGAAAGAGAAGGAAATAACTTGGAGAAAGAGGCTGAGGCAGGTAATGAAGATGGGGAGGAAAGGGCTGTTTGGGGCCTGTGTGCAGTAGGTAGTTGGAAGCTACTGCACGTGGCACATGTTTGAACAAAGGGACAGACACCCTCGAGGTACAGCTGACTCACCATTGACTTGTGGTGACCTTACAACTCAGCCTGTGCCTTCTGCAACACAGAGTGCCTAGAAGTATTTCCTAAACGGGAACATTGATCACCTATAAGATATTGATTTACTTTTTAGGTTGAAGCTCTTAAAAATAATCATTTTAGTTCTTTTTTTTTTTGGGCTGTGCTGCAGGTCTTGCGGGATCTTAGTTCCCCGACCAGGGATTGAACCTGGGGCCCCATGAGTGAAAGTGCCAAGATCTGACCACTGAACTGATCTGACCACTGAACTGCCAGGGAATTCCCTCATTTAAGTTCTTACAAAAGTAAAAAAAATAGAAAGTAAGATTGTCCTTCCAGCCTTTCTCCCCTGCCAGAAATCCTTACTTTCCCCTGTGACTCTTCTGAAGTGATATGAATATAAGTGCTTAGAACAATGTTAGGCTCATAAAAATGTTAGCTGCTATCATTATTAAATCATTTATACTGATTTATATATTCCCATTATTTGCATTGTTTTATCCAAGTCCCCAGGAAAGTATACATCGATGGTTTTACTTTAGAAGAGTTACTTACAAGTAGCTTTCCTTTTAGTACTCAGTGGTAGACATATCCTTGCAGAAGAATGTGGTGAAGATTTATATACAGTATTCAGAATCATGCTTCACTTGATGTGTATAATTTAGACGTGGTGAGGCGATTAAGGGATTGTTGAGAGCGCTGGTGGAGTGATCTGTGAATAAAAACAAAGGTCTACTTCTTGTAATATATTAATAGATCTCTGGTTGAATTAACCAAGTGTGCTTTAGCTCCCTTTCAGAGTAACAGCAGAGATTGTATTCTTGTTACCTACATATTGTTTCATAATAATTACACAATCACATCACTTATTTGTAAAAACAAATGTGTACATTTGTCCTTGGTCTCATCCCTCAACCTCTCAAAACCTGTTGTACAGAGGAAATCAGGAAGTCAAAATTACTGTTCCCTCTAATATTTTAGAGGTCAGGGTGAAGACATTTTGCCACTGACTAATTCTGTGACTTTGGACAAATCAATTTACCGCTATAGACATTAATTATTTTATTAAAAGATGTTTAGAAAGATCTCTAATTCTCTTCTACTTCAAAAATAGATAGAATCTTGAATTTTTTATTTCGCGTGTTGTCTTTTAAATGTTAGCTCTTCCTTCCTTACTGAACTTTTCATATTGTATTTTTATCTTAGAAGCCTAAAATATATAAATGGGGTTTTTGGGTCCTACTTACGTTCATTTATTTTGATGTGTTTGGTGCGGTGGTCAGAAGCATGCATCCACCACTTCCTAGAAGACAAATTACTAATGATCAGTTTTCTTCTGCTGTAAAATGGGGCTCATGGGACCTCCTACCTCATAAGGGTGATGTGAGGTTTAAATGCACTGATACTTCTAAAGTGCTTAGAATAGTGCTGTTCTCATACCAAGGCTTCAGCAAATGCCAGCTGTTGTTGTTACGATGGTTATTAATCTTATCCCCATTAGAAGGTATTTTGATACATTTTGAGTGTGTTCTTGGTTTTTATTGATTTATTGAATGGTTTAACTAGACAACTCAGAATCTGGAAAACTCTATAAAGTTAAAAGTGGTCCACAGAGCAAAAGGTGAACCATGTTACTGCAACTAGGTGATGTTTTTCAGTACACACTGAAATATAACACATGGTTATTGAATCTTAGAATTTGGGTGCTGGAAAAGACCTTAGAAAGCATGAGGCCCTACCTTTCATTTGATACCTATGGAAATTGGGGCCCAAAGAAGAAACGTGACTTGGCCAAGGTGAGAGAGTTGGTTTGTGGCAAAACCAAAAATCTTCATGTTGTTCCAGGACATTTACTGTTCCCCAAATCTTATTTGTTGAGTACTTAGTATACAATTCTTTTACACCATTTAAGCAGTTTTATTGCATTTAGCTACTGTTACAGCATCTCTTGACAGTCCTGATTTTAACAGAACGTTAATACTGCTAAAATGTGCCTTAAAAATAGAGAACAGGGCTTCCCTGGTGGCGCAGTGGTTGAGAGTCCGCCTGCCGATGCAGGGGACATGGGTTCATGCCCCGGTCCGGGAAGACCCCACATGCCGTGGAGCGGCTGGACCCGTGAGCCAGGGCCGCTGAGCCTGCGCGTCCAGAGCCTGTGCTCCACAACGGGAGAGGCCACAACAGTGAGAGGCCCGCGTACCAATCCCTAAAAAAAAAAAAAAAAAAAAAAAAAAAATAGAGAACAGTCACAGGCAGGAAGCTAATATACAGAAACATACATTAACATTGACTATGACAAAAATTAGTGACATCAATCTTACTCAGATTATTTTATCTTTACCTTGAAGTGTCTGTTGTCTTCTCTCTTTGGGTGTTTTCTCACACTGAACATTGTCTCATGTAGCTTTTGCTGAGACCAGGAGGCTCATAAAGTAAAAGTCAAGACAGGAAAGCTCTCACAGCTCTTGAGATTTCTAGTTGGAAGAACTTGTTTCAAACGTTTGTCTTTCCTTCCTTCTTTCTTTCCTTGTCTTGTCTTTCTACTTTCTTAGTAAACATTGCCTTGAAAAAAATTACTTTGAGAGTACTCAGTGCAAAATAGGTTTTCCTGAGTTACATTTTGTTCATTGACTTTTCTTGTTTGTCTTTAGTTACAGGTTTATGATAATGGATCGCTTTGGGAGTGACCTTCAGAAAATATATGAAGCAAATGCCAGAAGGTTTTCTCGGAAAACTGTCTTGCAGCTAAGCTTAAAAATTGTATGTGAGCTACCTTCTCGTTTTTTAATCCAGTAGAGGCTAGTTGTGTTGAAGTTCGGTCCTCTGCTGGTTGGTGTTAGGTACTGCATTAATTTATTCTATATGATGCTTTTATAGCTGGATATTCTGGAATATATTCACGAGCATGAGTACGTACACGGAGATATCAAGGCCTCAAATCTTCTTCTCAGCTACAAGAATCCTGACCAGGTAGTTTTGTAACTTTAATTTTTACCGTTTAAAACCTGTTGTTTGAAAACAAATATGGTTGCTATGAACTTTTTTTTTTTTTTTTTTTTTTTTTTTTGCGGTATGCGGGCCTCTCACTGTTGTGGCCTCTCCCGTTGTGGAGCACAGTCTCCAGACGCCCAGGCTCAGCGGCCATGGCTCACGGGCCCAGCCGCTCCGCGGCACGTGGGATCTTCCCAGACCGGGGCACGAACCCGTGTCCCCTGCATCGGCAGGCGGACTCTCAACCACTGCACCACCAGGGAAGCCCGCTATGAACTTTTGAACCCATGCAGAAGTTTTACTTTTTCAAGTAGATATGGTAATAATAATATTTCTTCTTGACACTTTTATCTAGTTAACATTCTACATTTTTGATGCGATTTGTTGGCACTTTATCAAGTTGGCTATTTTGCCCTAAATAATATTCAGAAGAAGTACTTGTGATACAAAATGAATTTCAAATAGCTATTTGAGGGTGGAAGCTTAAAATTATATAGTGCACCAATGAATTATGTTTGCCTTTCTGCTTTGTCATTTTTTAAATTTCCTTTGTTCAAGAAATCCATCAAATGTAAGTGTTCTGTTACTTGGAGAATTTGGTCTTTAACATGTTGATTATTTAAATCAATTGATTTACAGAAATATCCTAGCTGTCTAAATTTTGTAGGGTTTGGAATTCAAATGTGCATTTTTTTTTTTTTTTTTCGGTACGTGCGCCCCTCACCGTTGTGGCCTCTCCCGTTGCAGAGCACAGGCTCCGGACGCGCAGGCCCAGTGGCCACGGTTCACGGGCCTAGCTGCTCTGCAGCATGTGGGATCTTCCCGGACCGGGGCACAAACCCGTGTCCCCTGCATTGGCAGGCGGACTCTCAACCACTGTGCCAGCAGGGAAGCCCTCATATGTGCATTTTTTAAGCCTATTACATTCACTTTGTAATTCTCACTTTTTAAGGAAAGGAGAAAAGCTAATGTTATTATACCTTTATTTGGGTCAGTTTAGTTGGAGTAGAGGGATTTGTAATTTTCTTGAAGCTGATTCCATGATTTTGGTAAAAGTAACGTTTCGTTGACATAGTTGGGCCACTGTATTTAATCCATTTCATGTGTGTTCTTACTTGATCTTGTATAAGAAAGGAATATTTAAGCATTTTAACTGTGTATGTCGATATGCCATACTTTATTCTTCTTTGTCTCAGACCTAACTTTGACTTCCATTTGCTTAGTTTTCCCTTTTTCCTTTGGCTCCCCTTTGTTTTCCTGGCATCTCATATATTTGCCTCCCCTTCCCCATCTGTGTTACAGTAGCTGTAAGGGGTCTGTATACGCAGGACAGAAGAAAGTTTCTGGTCTAGAGCAGGCTAATGGAGAAATCCTAAAGGCAATCACAAAATTTCCAGGCAACTTGTTTTAGATGTGTTTAGGTTAAAAATAAGCAAACAAACAACATAGCTTAGAAACCTGAATGGTAAGGATTCTGTTAGTTGAAGTAGACTGGACTTGTATAATAAATATAATTTATTTCCATTTGCAGTTGACTAAAACATGCTGCCTTTTGTTTAGATGGAGGTATTTTTGCAGCTTGGTTATCCTTTGGGCATATGTTTTGGATGGGATAATTTTTCTAGTATTAGATGTATGTGTTAGATCCAGCCCCAAATTTTTACTTCAGTTCCCTCCTCTGACCAGATGCATACATCTGTGAGACAGTTACCCAGAATTAGAGATGTAATATGTGGCTCTGGAATAGAGGAAAGCCAAATTTATTAGCGTTATATGCTAATCAGATATACACATGCATGCCCATAGATATGTGTATATATAATACTAAAATTAAGTTCTAATTATGAAGACTTGACTTTAATATATAATATTTAAATGTAACTAAGAGCCTCATCTAAAAGTTCTTCAGATCATTATTATAATCTGTGACATATTTTTATGAAGTGAATTGATATTTGATTATTTTATAAGTGAAGACAGAGGGGAATAACTAACATAGCATGTGTCAACTAAGTTAGGAGTCTTACAGTCAGCGTGTAGCAGTTGTATTGCGACAAGTATTGATGGTTTACTCTGTGCCCAGTTTTGTTTTAGATGCCGTAAGGAAAAGTGTAAGATTTATAATCCTTGCTCAAATTGAGGAGACAAGATTATTTACAGGTGTAACACATACTTGTCTAAAGTCGGGTGATATCTGCACTATAGCTACATGGTCATTTAACGTTTTTCTTTAAAAAGTCTTTCAGAATTAAGTGCTTGCTGTTGTTTGCGTGTTGGATCTAACTTGTTTGGGGTGCTGTAGTATGGCCTTGTGGATGAATCTACCCTCAAGTGACAGTATTCTGTTTCTGGGCTTTAAAGGGAGTATATGTGTAGTCATTTTGCCTTTAATTTGTCTTGGTATTTGGACATTGATAGGTGTACTTGGTAGATTATGGCCTTGCTTATCGGTACTGCCCAGAAGGAATTCATAAAGAATACAAAGAAGACCCCAAAAGATGTCATGATGGCACGATTGAATTCACCAGCATCGACGCGCACAATGGTGTGGGTACGTCAGTGGCACCTGAACAAGAGATACATTGCCAGTGCTTTCAACTGAATTCCTACACAGTTCTTCTGCAGTAAACACTTAGACAAGTAAATCAGAATTGAAGAGGCAGGATAGGATGGGGGAAGAAGGGAGAGCTTAGGCTCCTACATTTGTGCAATGTGAGGGCACCTGTGTTTCCTCCCTGTCTTCCTCCCACCCTTCAAAGATCACCAGGGTTTCAGTAGCGGAGGTAGTTCAGTCAGCTGCAATAAGGCTTTCTTTTGCTTTTATTTAGCTTAATTGGAATGTTGGGGGTTTTCCCCCTAAAAGTCTGTAAGTTTCTTATGCAGCTACAACTTTGTAACAGGTAGACTTTTATTTTGTCACCTATTAAGTTGTCCTGTTTCTTCAGTAGTCCGTTTCTTTTTCTTCTGTACCCAACACTGTGGAGGAGCTAAAATTCCCAGTTCTCTGGGCTTCTTAATAGCTTATAGCATTTTTAATATCTTCACATTTTCCAAGGGCACTATTTAATGTGTCATTGTTTTATAATTTATTTCCTAGGCTGATAGTCTCAGTGTGAAACTGTAGAGTTTGCCAATTTGGGTTTTAAAGGAAATTATTAGTTGGAGGTAAATGATTTCTTTTATACTGCCCAGTATTCGGTGCTTTTTTCAGAATGGAGTCAAGATTTGATGATGAAAAACAAGACTGTAGAGTTGACCCTTTTACCTTATTCCTTTAGATATACCTGAAATTCTACCTTAAACATTGTTTCAGTGTGCTGAATCTGCTTCTTTTGTTTCACAGCCCCATCAAGACGTGGTGACCTGGAAATCCTTGGTTATTGCATGATCCAGTGGCTTAGTGGCCATCTTCCTTGGGAGGATAATTTGAAAGATCCCAACTATGTTAGAGATTCCAAAATTAGGTAAAGGAAAACTGATAATAAATTATTTTGGGCAAAATCATAAGGCAGATGTTTAGTCAGAACTTCTTGATGGGGACTATAGTTTTAACTGATACTAGTGTAGAAATAAGAAAGTACTTGTTAAACAGTAAGATTCCTTGGTCTTTTGTTGAATTTATTTTAGAAGAATGTCCGTAAGCGTATTTAGGATGTAGCACAATGCTGCTTAATGTGCTTTTTACTGTTATTAAATATTAATACCTTTCCATGGCATCAAGGTTCAAACAGTGACTCAGCCTTTAATTTTTAACAGATACAGAGAAAATATTGCAGGTTTGATGGACAAATGTTTTCCTGAGAAGAACAAGCCAGGTAAGAAAAAACTTCTTGAATGTTCGTAGGGATCTTGTTTTCTGCAAGAAAAAAAGTCTTGAGGTCTGTGGAATATCCCTTAATGTAGGAGCTTAGGCATTGTTAAGTGTAATCAGTGCGCTGCAGCCTGCTCTCCTGAAACAGGCACTTCCCTTTCCACAGGTGGGCCTTATTCAGTTATTATTCAGTGCTTTCAGTAATGGAACCGAATTTCATTCAGTAATTCAACTATTTTTTTTATTGAGGCTTTATTGTGTGCGAAGGACCATTCTAGGCACTAGGGATACACCAGTGAACAAATTAAATAAAACTTCCTATCCTCATGAAGCTCTAGTTGGGAAAGGTAGACAGTAAACAAACGAGTGAATTTCACAGTATATTGCATGGTTAGTACTGTGGCAGACAGAAGAAAGCAGCGAGTAGAGTTAGGGGGTGTGGGGATGGGTTGGGGAGTGAAGCGAGGAGGTGGGTTGGAATTGTAAATAGGGTGGCCAGGGATGGCCTCACTGAGGAGATGACAATTGAATAGTTATAGGAAGGAGATAGGGAGCGAGCTCTGGGGAAGTCTGGGGAAGAGC